TTCTCGCATTAATTCACACGATATGTAGAAATCAATGCAAATCATGTCATCGGAGGTCTGGGTTTTGAAGATTTCATTTTTATAGTAAATTAAATACCATAAATCTAGTGAATTATATTCACTTTGAGTCTATATACCATTTGTATAATACTTCCCACATTTGCTGATAATATTGCAGACATTGCAAGAGTTCTCGCATTAATTCACACGATATGTAGAAATCAATGCAAATCATGTCATCGGAGGTCTGGGTTTTGAAGATTTCATTTTTATAGTAAATTAAATACCATAAATCTAGTGAATTATATTCACTTTGAATGAATGCTTTATTATTTTCAAACCAAAAGTTGTAATATTCGGCCGATAAATGGGAATTCGTGTCAAATATGTTGTTTATATCAACAATTAATTTATTCGTTTCTTTAACAGTATCTATATATAGAGGTATATAATATGGTATAAATATATAACACACATAATTATAACATGTTGATAATAGTTTTATAATTTCTATTCTAACCTGGTATATTATTTTTGGTTAATTTATAAAGATGTCCTGAAGTTTTATGTTTATATGAGTAACTATGATTCAGCCCTTTAAACATGGATTCATTTATTTCAAGAGTTTCTAAATGATAAAGAATTAAAAAAATTATTTTCTTAAAATTTTATTTAAATACAAACCTAAACTTGTTATCTGATTGCTTCGTAAGAAACAACATAATTTGCTTTTCAGAAATATTTTCAAAATTTTATTGTCATTAATATTAGTTGTAATTAATTTCCACTCATTTTCCCCAAAAATGGGTTTATTTGTCATAAATGTCTGCAATTGTGATAAAATGTGCGAACATTCGGGTCTTTGCCTCCAATCTGTTGAACCGTTTTTTGAATTTTCATTGACAGCCATAGACACCAATAATGCATTCATTTTATGCATCCATTTATTTATATTTATATTATATTTTCCGATTCTATAAAAGTTGAAATTATTTACAAATTATAAAAATTAATTTATTAAAATTAGTTCTCTAATACAAACATACCTTCCCTCAATTATATCGTATGTATCGAAACCAAAAATTTGAGCCCCAATTAGAGATAGACTGTAGATATCTATTAAATGGTTGTATTCAATTGGATATGTATTGACTTCTGGTGCCATATAGTCAACAGTTCCCACATCTGCCGTATGTTTGGCTTTAGGCATAAGAAACGGATCACAATTTGGGACCTCTTTAGCCAAACCAAAGTCACATAACTTTATCTTATAGTCCATTGAAATCAACACATTATCCGGTTTGAGGTCTCTGTGAATGATCTGTGGATCAGATTCATGCAAATATTGCACACATTCTGTGAGTCTATAAAATATATGATACGATATATAAAACTCAGAAATGGTCATCAATTCATTAAAAAATAATTTCTTAATTTCCAAAACATTGTTGAGATTATTTATACATAACTCCATTTGAAAGTAAAGACAATTGCATTCAATCCATGAATAGTAGTATTGAATCACAAACTCTGAACGAACTTTGATTAAGCTTTTGGTTTCATTCAAAACGTTTTGTTTCTCTTTTTCTTTCAATCCTTTACAAAAATCAATTTATAAATTTATATTAATTATAAATAATTATAAAATTATATAGGTTTATGGGACACATGCAGTATTCTAGACAATAGGCAGTAACCTGGGTTATAAAATTAATTAACAATTTTGTGAAGCTCCCCATTTTATTTCACTAAACCGTACGAATAATCTCTTATTAATATCATTGTTTTAAAAAAATATGACAACGTATTTTGTTGTGCAGTATTTTGAGTAAATTATAAGTTAATAGATTATTTATAACCAATAGTATTACATAAATTGCGCTAATATATTTGACGTAATTTATTCAATATGAGCATTTAATGCATAATTGTTGGTGAAATTTTGATAAATGTAAATAAACATAGTTTGGTAAGTAAATAAGTTACGTAAAATTAGTTTAACGTAATTGTTGACTAAATTAATGAGCGCCAAACATAATTAAACTTATTTGGCCTATTTATCACTTTTAATTAACAAGTAAATTCGAATTTTGTAAAAGTAGGCCTTTTAGGCCGTAGGCGTTTTGAGCGAGTCC